GGTAAATTTACTGTGGCAGTGGAGATATTTGCCATTCTGGCCTCCAGCTTTGGACTAATATTCTGTATATTTGCTCCAAAGTGTTTTATCATATTATTTCAGCCAGAAAAGAACACAAAGAAATACTTAATGAACAAAAATTAATTAGAGCTTTTGTGAGATGTGTTAGAATGTCAACATGCTTATTACATAACAACAGGTTGTTCATCCATTATTTTGAGTAGAATTTGACCCGATAATGTTGTTTATGTATAAATGTAAATGGTATTTGTGCCTGTAATCATTTTATTTGAGAAAATACTTTTCATGTTATAAAAAGATGAGATAAAATGGGAAAAAATTCGCTGTTGTTTTATTAAGATATCAGAAATACACAGACACATATACATATGTGTACATAAACAAATAGATAAAAAATAGGCCAAAAGATATCATGGGGTTTTCACTGATGTCCTAAACATAAGAGCAGTCATTATATTGTACTACTGTTTGGTACTTATCTATTACTGTTGAATATTACACATCTATGGGAGTCTGGAAAGAAATAGGTGTGGCCACTCTTTTTTTTCACAGTACAACAAACCCCAGATCATGATACTTTACAATGTTTCAAATATGGTATTAGTCCTCATTTATGCTACGATATAGGATTTTTCTTAAGGGTCTTTCTCATCCACACGTAACTTCTTTTCTAATCTATTCTGACTCTGAATACATAATGAGCTCATGTTTCTTCCATTCTTTCTGCTGCTATTATTGTCCAGATTACAATTTGCAAAATTAGGGAAAAAAATCCTCCTGACCAACAGAACACTGAGATGACATATTGAGATAAAGAAAGTCCAAAAGCAGTGAATGTCAGCAGGATAAACTCAGAGTTTTCATTGGCAAGAAACATCAGTTTAGATTGCGCATCTGGTATGTAAGGCACTCCTACCAAACCATGCAGCAGGGAACAGACTCTAAAGACATTAATCTTGTTTCTTTGACGAATCAATAATTTATGCATTACCTCAATAAATATAGTTCATTACATCATGGTACTTTTACAAGTGTATGACATGTCCTATCCTAACTCTTATCCATACCTCTATACCCCCTCTACTACTTTGACTCTGACTAGGGATTTTCCTCTAGAGATTTTATTTTCAGATTGATGATAAATGTAACATTGTGTCACTTTGGATAAAAGCGTCTGCTAAATGCATGAACATGACATTACAAACATAGACAAATTATTGGGTTCCCCACTCAAACCTTTATGTAAAAAGACAAACAAGAATTTCCTTCTGAGGTTTTCATAACTCATCCAGCTGACTATGATAGGCTCTTAGCACACACGATTAGTCTGTATTACAAATAGCGTCATATTACATGCCTTATCTGCCTGGTGGAAGCATTAATGAGGTATTATTTCTTCTGATTACTGCACAGTAACTCTCATAAGCATTATACATTCATCCATCATGTCTTCATGACCAAATTAATTAAGTATCTTTATTTAATGTTCATAACAAACTGCTAAATCGGCCTGTTATATCTCACCTGAATAAGTCACTATGGGTTATAATGCTTACTTTACTTACATTTGATCTCTTTTTGTTGTTGTGAAGCACTTTTTAATTAAATATATTGAATTGAAAAATCCATGGATTCACAAAGTTCATTGTAGATTTTGTATTATGTAGAAGCAGGCCAAAATGAGTTCAAAGGAGCAAAGTACATATACAGGAAGGTAAATACATTTGTTTTTTTTTCCTATGATGACTAACAGAACAAGTATATAAACCAATGAAAATTCACTGACATGCACAAGCAGACTCTTGAGGGATGGATATCCAAGTTTTTTTACTTGGCTTGAGATTGGCTCTCAGCCTGTTTCAGGTGAACTCAGTTGATGTCACCGGTTGGTCTCTGACTGGACTGACACAAAGGACTGATCTTACAGAGGCTGGGACTGATGGAGTCGGAAGGAATACATCTGTAAACTGTAACCTGCAGGGGGCTGCTCCAACACCAGTATTTTCAAGGGATGGAGATTATGTTGTTGGTGGTATTTTCACTATCCACTACAAAACCCGAACAAAATTTCATGACTACACTACCATACCTGAGCCCCCTCAGTGCACAGGGAGGTTAGTAAAAAGTGGAAGGAAGGCAGAAGACAGAACTTCAGGTCTATGAAAATGTTAGAAATAGATATTTCTGATTTACTTTTTTATGGAGTATTATTGCAGTGTTTCTTTGAAAAAACTAATGATACTGAAGTTGAAATGTAAATATGTACGTTATAAATGTAAAATGTAAATTGCTATATGCTACTTAAGATCTGTGTGTTGCAGCATGGACACTCGTGAGCTTCGCTTCTCTCGCGCTATGATCTTCGCCATCGAGGAGATTAACAACAGCACCGAGCTGCTGCCAGGCATCAGGCTCGGATATCAGATCCATGACTCGTGTGGCTCGGTGCCAGTGGCTGTGCACGTAGCGTTTCGGTTCTTGAACGGCCAGGACCCCACCTTTCAGCCTGGTGAAAGCTGCTCCACATCTGGTATGGTGATGGGTGTTGTTGGTGAGTCTGGATCCACGCAATCCATCAGCATGTCACGCATCATGGGGCCCTTTAACGTTCCTCAAGTAAATATTTTGAATTTCCTTCTCCGTATTGTAGAACGTAATTGTGCTGCTTTCCCTGTCAGTTTAAAGACAGATCTGTGTTTCCATGTTTTTTTCGTAGGTTAGTCACTTCGCCACATGCGCCTGCCTGTCAGATAAGCAGCAGTACCCGACCTTCTTCAGAACTGTTCCCAGTGACCAGTTCCAGGCTGTGGCTCTGGCCAAGCTGGTGAAACATTTTGGCTGGACTTGGATTGGTGCTGTTCGGTCAGACTCGGACTACGGCAACAATGGCATGGCGTCTTTCCTCCAGGCAGCACACAAAGAGGGGATCTGTGTGGAATACTCTGAATCTTTCTATCGCACAAATCCGCCCAGCAGGATAAAAAAAGTAGCTGATGTTATCCGCAGGTTACAACCGATTTGTTTGTCATTGCTTTTAACCTCATATTGGTTATTACAACAGATTGTATTTTAAACAAATAATTTTAGATAATTATAATGAATTATAATAATAAATTATTTTTCATCATGCTACTTTAAAGGGAAATACTCAATCAAATCGAATGTAATAAATCAAATATAAAATTCTAAGATGATGCAATGTCTCTCCAGGTCAACTGCTCTGGTTGTGGTGGCATTCATAGCCGGTGGAGACATGGATATTCTGTTAAAGGAGCTGGCCAGGGACCCTCCACCTCCTCGTCAGTGGATTGGCAGTGAGGCCTGGGTAACTGATACAAATTTTGTGTCATTTGGTTTCTGTGCTGGGGCCATTGGATTTGGGATTCAGAAGTCTGTGATCCCAGGTCTGAGAGACTTCCTGCTGGATCTGTCTCCCTCTGAGGTGGCTGCCTCCCCACTGCTCACTGAGTTCTGGGAGGATGCATTTGACTGCAAACTGGGAAAAAGTAAGAGCTGTTTTGATTGACTAAACAAACATGTGCCTTTTAAGGCAAATTTCTAACAAGAAGCTGTATTAGAATAACATATTTAACATGTATATTTGCTTTCATCACTGATATATTAAATTATTTTTTAAATTTAACCAATAATGAGTATGTAAGTAATGTATCAGTAACATAAATCATTCATTGCACAGATATTTACATGAGCGATTCAAAATTTGACTGAAATGTCTTTAAATTGGTGATTACATTTGAGCCAGATTTAAGCCACCTGCCTCTGTCTCTGCATGTCTGCAGATGCTGCTGCAGGTGAGAATGTGTGTGATGGAACTGAAGACATAAAGAAGCTCCAGAGTCCGTACACAGACACATCTCAGCTGAGAATTACCAACATGGTGTACAAGGCTGTGTATGCAATAGCACATGCCATTCACAATGTTGTGTGTCACGAAAAAAACTTCACATCTCAGTGTGACAAACACAGCAAGTTGGATTCAAAGCAGGTCAGTGGAAATAAAGAGTGAAGCATAACATATTTGCATGCTCAAATTTAATTTGAAATTTCATCAAATTATTTACAGAAAATTAAATTAAATTAAAAACATATATGACTTTATCTCACCATTTTCCCTTTCTCTTTTTTATCCTACTAGTTTTTTAATAAACTTAAGAAAGTCAACTTCTCCCAAAATGGTTATGATGTGTCATTTGATGCTAATGGGGATCCTGTTGCTGTCTATGAGCTGGTCAACTGGCAAAAGACAGAGAGTGGAGATATTGAGTTGGTAACAGTAGGATACTATGATTCATCACTGCCGATGGGCCAGGAGTTTCGTATCAACAGGAACCTGTCCTGGGTGGAGGGGAGTGAACAAGTAATGAAAACTACTCAGAAAAAGAAACAAAATAAAGTATTCATGTCAGCTGTGTTTGTGAAAGCTTCCTGTGTTATTTTTCCTGTGTCTCTGTGACAGGTGCCGGTGTCTGTGTGCTCTGAGAGTTGTCCTCCAGGAACACGTAAAGTGTTGCAGAAAGGAAAACCCATCTGCTGCTATGACTGTATACCCTGTCCTGAGGGAGAGATCAGTAATGCTACAGGTCAGATAAAAAATCTCTCTGTATATCTGCTATTTGAAATGTACATGTGCTGACAGCACTTTTTGATGGGTGTTTCAGACTCTCCTGACTGTATCCCGTGCCCCAGAGAATTCTGGCCTAATTCTGCGAAAAATGCCTGTTTTCCCAAACCTGTGGAGTTCCTGTCCTATGATGAAGTCCTGTCAATCATCCTGGCTGTGTT